GGGCAGGGTCAGTGAAATTCACAGATGAAGCTGAATTTGTAAGTTAACAGAATTATCAATGTTTTCCCTTAAAAACCAGTTTAACTAAGCAAGTTAACATCTTTATCACTAGTCCTACCATTCTGGGTGCCAGGGCAATAAAACTGCTTTTAGGCAGGAAAACTGCCTGAAAATAGCAGAGAATACCAACTGCAAGGTGACCCCAAGTGGCTCATAGGGCAAACCCCTATCTTACTGGCCAACATGAAGGGGTCAGAGGAGACAGGCAGTCAGCTAAGGAAGCAATGCAGTGGAAATGTGGTGGTGAACAGGCAGTCCCATGCACAGAGAGAGGCTGTTGCTGTCTCAACAAGGAGCTGGGCTATTCTTAGTTGAGCCTGGGTAGGAAAAGTGGGCTTTTTAGTCAAGTCTCAGGTGTAACACAAGCAGCATCTGCTCAGGCCTGTACACCTGAAAGGGAGACTGTATACATCAGGGGTATACTCCAAGAAGCCACTTGTGCATATATTCACCCCTCTACCCCACCTGCTACCAAAGGTAGAAAGAAGCTTCTTTTGCACCCAGCAAGGAGGTTGGTGCAAACAGGGACCACTTCATACCAGCATAGGGTCCAGCACCCCTCAGGGATACTGCTTCTCCTCCCCCAGGTGTGCAACCCAACTTGCTATTACCCAGATGCCTCCCATTTCACCAGGGCCCCAAAGCTAAATGATGCTCAGCAACAGCTTGAGCATTATTTAAGCCAATTTGAGTTCTCTTGTATAGTGTAGTGGGTTTTTTGCTGATAAGAAGGAAAAGTTTCTTCAGTTCTGTTCCTCTATGTTCTTCCATACTTTCTATTACCCTCTGTTGTTTTTTGTGCATTTTTGTTACATGGTATATCTTACTGAACCTAGTTTTTCTCCTAGGTTGGTTTTCTGCTATGTTTAGAGAGAGATATCAGTGCAAAGCAAGGAGGCGCAGCTTTGAGCAGCAAGAGGTAAGAAGGGCCTTTTCCTTCAGCAGCATTAAGCTGGAATGATGTCATTTGTGGAGTTGTGCCTAAGTCTGCTTGTCCTATTCTTCCTAACAGTCAGCACTGGTGGGGCTGGGCAGGGAGGGACTGATCTGCTGGTAAGAAAAACACCCAGGGGAGGATGCAGTGAGCTGTGCCCTCACTTTGCTGGATTAGGCTTAGTACAGAACCATTACCAAGCTGATCAGAGGCAGGGGGTTTCTCTGCTCCCACAGATGGCAGGGATGAAGGCAGGGTTGAGAGTAGGGCTGTACCTTCTATATGCGGCTTATGTGTTTGGAGAGCTTCAACCTGCTTTCCTTTGCCGTTAGTAGAAACAAGCTATGTACAATTGTTATTTTCATTTAGACAATACTACAGGATAAGGACTGTCCTTGGAAACTAATTATTAAACCTGGCTGGTAGGAAGGCTTTAACCCCAGTGAGCTGCTGTTGGGTGTGTAGCCATGCCAGACTGAGACAGTGCAAGGAAAGAGCAGTGTTACAGATAGCATTTTAGGCTTTAATAAAATATTGTTGCACTTCCGTGTAGTTTGAAGAGCCTATTTTATTTAAAGACTTTTAAACCGTCACAGTTCCTAGCTCTCTGCTGATGCCGAGTGGTTTGAGTCTTGCCTTGGAACACTGAGAGCCCCAGGGGAGGTTCATGAGCCTGTTGCTGCCCAGTAGCCTGAAACATCTGAGCTTTGTGCCTGAAAGCCAACATGAGGCACTAGCCAGCCCCCTCCCTCAATTTCCCCTTGAACCACATCATCTCCTCATCCCTGCTCCTTCCTACTCTGAGCACTCACTGCCTTGCTCCTCCTCTTAACTAGTGGTTTATGTGGAAATTAGAAACTTTGTGAGCATACCCCTCCTTGTTAGAGGCTTTCCCTTCCTGACCTGCATATCGAGCACTGGGGGACATGGCCTTTCCTGCACAGAGTTGCTGTGAGCAGGGAAGAATGACAGGGCTGTTGTGGGGTTACAGCAATGCTGTAGCGTGGCATGGAGAGCTGTGCCTCTTGCGCTTGTACTGTCCTGAGGTAACTCCAGTTTCTGCTGTTGGATATGTCTTGATTCAAGTGCAGAAGTAGCCCTTGGCAGCGGAAAAGGGCTGCCAGGAGGTGGGAGAGTGGGTATGGTGCAGAGAGACACCAGCATCCTTGTGGCCCCAGGGCTGTGTGATGTTATACATTATAATGTGGGCATCAGGGAAGTGGTGCTACTTAGGCAGCACAGCTTCCAGCTGTGACATCACATCATTGTTTTCCATACACTGTGTACACCATGGCAATGGTTAATGTTAATTTTCCATATTGAAATATCTCTGTTATTTTCTTTTCATTGCTAGCATTGAAATGTAGGGTTAAAAAAACCTCCAAACCCTTGAGGTCCTTTTGTGCAGACCAGCCCTGAAGGGATGGAAAAGGGCTCTGGGGTGGCTGAGCTAAGCAGTCAGAAGCTCCACCAGGCAGGAGTTATCTTTGGGTTCATCCAGTGCTGAGCACTTGCCACTCTGCAGATGTTTGTGGAGAGTGCTCAGGCAGTGTGAAATCAGAGTTGTGCCTGAGCTGGAAGTGTAGTGCTGCAAGGAAGCGGGGGTGAGTGTGGGATGGAGAAGGCTCTGTGGGAGTCAAGACAAGCTGCTTTGGTAGAGAAACCCTCCTCTGCTTTGGAGGGGGACCTGTGCAGGTATGTGTGTTCACAGCTGGGTCCATCCTGGTCTCTGATGAGCCACCAGCTGAGCCTTTTCTCTGTGGCAAATTGAACACTGGAGGTTGGTGCTCTTGCCTTTCCTTTCCTCCCTGTCCTGCCATGTTGGATGTCCCGGAGGGACTCATTTGTACCAAAACATGGTGCAAAGGGCAGCTCTGACACTTGGTGGCGAAGGGGGATGCTGCAGCATAAGATCTGTCAGATGTGGATGGTGTCCTGCTCAGCCAGGACACTCCTCCTGTCTTCCTGGTGACATCTGCCCATGTGCTTGCCCAGCTACCACCATTCCCAGCTCTTCTGCTGTGCTGGAGGTGCAGGCAGCGGCCTGGGCTGAGGCGAGCAGCCTGTGTGGGAGCAGTGCTCTCTTGAGGCACAGCTTGGCTGTGAAAACTGCAGCTCATTACTTGGTGAGTTTTCCAGGAATTTATGTTTCTGGAATAAAGATACTTCGTGTAAATCTCAGTTTCAGTTTAAACACAAAGTAAGTAACTGCTTGGCTGGGGGATAATGGCAGCACAAGCCAGAATGCAGCCTGAAGATGCAGAGGCAAGCTGGAATGTGGTGCTTTAAGATTCTCCGAAGTCTGAGCGAGTCACTTTGAGTTTTGTGTGGGATTCCCTCTACCTTCAATATTTCAGTGATTGACCATGTAGTGACCCAGGCACACTGTAGCCTGCCAGCTGCCCTTCCCTCCCTCCTCTCCTGGGTGAGGCAGGATGAAGGGAGCTGCTTGAGAGGAATCTTCTTGCAGAACTGAGCTGAGTGGAGACATTTTGTTCAGCATTCAAGTTGCTCTTATGGCATTGTAAGATGAAATCCATCTTTTTTCAGAGCAATCTGTGCAAGAACCCACATGTACCACATCGAATGTTCATGCCTCTTTTACAGAAATACTTAGGACGTATCTGTAAATGTGTTCAGCCCCATGGGAGGTTAAACAATCTGTAGAAGCTGTTCCACTCCCTCTTGCCTGTTTTAATTTATGAGTCTGTGTTTCTCATTGCTTGGAGGCAGCAGATGCCTGGGGCTGAGGTTTGAGCTGTGCAGCACAGGGGGGCAGCACTGTGAGCCAGGGGGTGGCTGGGGCAGTTCGCAGGGGGACAGGAGGAGGCTGGGGCCAGCAGTCTGTGCTGCTGCTGTGGAAGGACCTGGCAGCCCACACTGAAAGCAAGTGCGATGGCACTGAGTGCCCAGCAGGGAGCTGTGATTCTTTATAACTTGCATTTTGATATACCAGATTTCAAAGACTCGTATACAGGTTTTCCTTTTCATTAGAAGAAAAAGGACACTGCCAGACAGTTAATGATGTCTCTTGCTTCTCATCTGGGGCAATGAGCTTGTGTGCCTCTCAGAAGGCTGACACTGGGAGGAAGAGGCTCCCTGCTGGGGCCTTCCCTGCAGATAAGGGAGGACTGACTGGCTGAGCTGATCTAATTGCTCACTGCTGCTTCTTCTCCACCCTCCTCTTCTCAGCCTTATCCCCTGTGGTGCTCTTCCAGCCCTGGTATCTGCCTGGTGCCAAGGGGGTTCAGCTCAAAATCAGTAGAGAACTAACCTGAACACAAATAAAACCCAAACAATAATAATAAAAACCACTACTTCACCCACCCCAATACTAACTTTAGGGAATGGATAATGCAGTAAATCAAGGGGGAAGAGTGAGGAGAGAAAACAAGATCTGTATTTTGTCAGCAGTGACTAATTAAAACTGTACTATTTAATTTCCCCTTTGGGTGCACCACAGCTGGGTGGTGCTGTAGAGATGTAACATTCTTCTATGTGTCCCACCACCTCCCTTGAGCTGCTCCCAGCATTGTACAGCTGCTGAGGGACCTGTGTTTGGGCAGAAACCTGTGTGCACCTCAGCCCAGGTAAAAAGTGGCTATTTCCCTCACTGGGCTGGCAGGGTGGGAGTGAGGAGCTTGGCATGGAAGAGAAACACCGTTGTTGAACTGCAGCTGCCTTTGGGAAGCTGCCCGCAGATGCAGCCCAGGACAGCCTGAAATGAGAGCACTTTGTAAAGAGAAATAAATTATCTGAGCAACCCCTGTGAGGGAAAGGACATTTGCCATCTGAGTTAGCAGCTTTAGGGGAATGCACAGATCCTATTCTTCCACCTTGCAGGTTTCTGACACAGAGAACAGAAAACCCTATGCATTCCCCAGCTTGCTGGGCTGGAGAGAGGAATATTCCCATTGCTCTGGTACCTGCAAAATCCATCCCTGAGCCCAACAGTGTCTGTGGAATCTGTAACACAGGTTTGAAATACCTTCTGGGAAGCCACTTTAATGAATATCAAGACTATTCCAGGAGTACTTTTGTTCAGCTTTATTTTATAAAATGTACTTGAAAAGATTTTTGTAAGCTACAACGCGGTTACAGTTAAATGCAACTACAGGTACTGTAGTCCACAAAAATCGTGCAGGTATTTTCACTTGTAAAAGTAGAATTGATCTGTAAAGTCCATAATCCACTGTGGCTCAGAAGCCCATGGGTAGTTGACTTGCACAGTCCAGTTTAGATCCTGACTGTGGCTTACCAAAGACTGTCTGAAACCAGACACAGGACTCCAGTGCTGGTACATGGAGGCTGAAATTTGAGAAGCACCACTGATGCTCAGTGGAGCAGCTTGTTTCTTAGGAGGAGTCTTACCTTTAACTGAAAAATGGGAGCTCTTTTGTGTCCTTTCCTATTTAGACCAGATGGGTTTGCTTATCAGTGCTGCTTTGATGAGGCTGAGAACTACTCTTTTATAACATTAACTTATGACTTCCTGACTCTTAAGTAGCTGGTAAAGTGTAACTCTGGATTAAAAGGGTTTATTACTATTATAGGGTGTAGGGGGAGGAGGGGCAGTGATACAGTCTCTAACATCAGTGGCACTTCTGAGCTCAGCCTTCAGGAAATGGTTGTTGGTTTCCAGGTTTTATAACAATAATATAATAAAGCATTCAGCACCAGTATGTGAATTACATGTCCATGGCATGTTGCAGAGTAACCAGATGCAGGACTCCAGTGCTGGTACATGGAGGCTGAAATCTGAGAAAACACACTGGGTGGCTTCGAGACTGAGAGATTAATGAGGCTGCTGAAAGGTGAGTCCTGCTGGTCCTGGTACCCTGTGGAGCAGTTGATGCCATCAAGTGAATATCTGAATAGCCAATACAGGCTGCTAGCGCCAAAAATGTGGAACTGTATGATAATTCCACTCATGTCCATGTACAGGCTACATTTTGCTGGACTGAGGTCGCATGCATTTCCTGTTTTTTCCCACAGGTTAGTTTATCATATTTCATTGAGATAATCTTGATCAGGATATATCAGGAAACCAGTAAATAAGCTGTCTGTCCAGTAAGGATCATAAAAGAGCCCATTTTGTTCTGAGTAAAATATCTGCAGCCATACCTCATCCTCCTGTTTCAAAGAAAGGATGGTTGATCCAGAGGCAACGTCATGGTTCCCAGTTTTTGCATCAAAAGTCTTAATCCGGTACTGCCCGTTGTGGACCAAGCCAATGGCCAAATGTTTGTTGGCCAAAGTGATATCATAAGTGAAGTAGTAAATACCTGGGATGCTGCATACAAATTTCCCACTGGAAGCATTGTAATGTCCTCCCTCGTTCATCAGGATCCTGTCAAATTTGATGGGCAGCCTTTCCCTTGGGTAGCTCTTGGAGACTGCCACAGAGAAGGCAGACTTGGCTTTGTTGGCATTACAAGTACAGGGTCCTGGCAGTCCAGTCTCACCCTTGTTCCCTTTGGGCCCTTTTTTCCCTGGGGCCCCATTTTTTCCAGGATTACCCTTTAAACCCTTGGGCCCTCGTGGGCCTGCTTTGCCAATAGCTCCCACTTTCCCCTTTGGGCCTGGTTTGCCGGGGTTTCCCGTTCTGCCTTGTGGACCTAGAAGATAAATAGCCTTGTAAATCTTTCAGTGAAAGACTCGATATGGCAAGTGGAAAGGGGTTGTGTCATTCCAACAGTATATTTTCATTTAGGAGGAAAACCCTGCTGATGAGAATCCCAATGAAATACCACCTGGGAGGCATCTGTCAGGACTGTTAGGTAGGTAGCTGGCATGATAACAATGGGACTTGGGAGCAGGACAGCCTGTCCTTCTCAGGGACCAAAAGGCTGGCTCAATTATATGGCTCACTTCCAAAAGGGAGTAATTGATTATAGAGGTAGCCAGGAACAAGCTTTAAATGTTTGGGGTTTTTCATAAGTGGGACAGGTTTGTGAAGCTTTTGGAACCCAGCTTTGAGCAGATGGGATACTTCCATCTCCTGTCTCTTTAATTTTTGTTTGTTTTTTTTTTCGTTTGTTTGTTTTTACATTTAACATTAATCTGGTGTTAAAAAATAAGCGAACAAAGCATCTAGGTGTAGTAAAAAGCCTGGCATATCTGGAGGATGAACCAGAGGACATACAGTGCAGATACTGCCTTGAGATGGGAAGCCAGCTGTGCTGTCACAGTGATGCTGAAAATGCTGATTGTGCTGTGGCCTGATATAAGACAAATTCATGGGGGTTTATACCCTATCTCTTGAGCTGCTAGTGCAGTAAGACAAGAGTTAAACGCAGCTGTGGGTGGAAACCTGTTCTCCAGATTCCCAGTTTTGGGGCTGGGAAGCAAGAATAAGGTGCAGCTTTGGCATGCTGATGCTATGCTGAATCAGGAGTGCACTCTAGTGTGGCAACGGGAAATCACTGTGTTCTCACCACAGCTGGTCCTGATGCTTACTTGCTAAGGCTGGATTTAAAGGGTTGTTGGATTAAATAAGGGTGATTGTTTGCTCTGATTTAGATTCAGCATGGTCAGAGCAGTGCCTGTCACCCAGCTAGAGTGCTCTGGGCAGCAAGTGCTTGATTTTTTTCACCTGACTTTGTTCTGCTTGAGAGCAGGAGTCAGAGCCCACCACTTTGTCTTGTCTAGCGAGCATATATCAGAACAGGGAAAATGTCACTTCATAACAAAATGAAGCTGATAGGAATTGCATACAGTAATAAGAGGCTATCAGCAAATAATGCAAGTCTGGACCCCCTGATAGCGGAATAGACTCCACAACTCGTTAAAGTTGTAAAGTAGGTATGCTTTATTCAGCTGAAGACGCACGGGGGATTAGTCCTCCAAAAAGCATGCGTGCCTCAGTGCTGCTTTTCCTTTTACATTTATCCTGTAAAGTCATACATATGTATTAGGTTGCACAATACGCCTATACATATTCATATTCTATCTCCGCTTCGTATTATAATGAGCTAAAAGGCTCTCCACGCATGCACAGTGCCTCCTGGTGTTCTTGGGCAGGGGTCTTGAGATGAAGTAAGTAGTCTTCCTCTTGTGGGTAGGGGTCTTCAAGATGAAGTAAACGAGTCTTCCTCAGGCTTGAAATTTTTACCTCTGGTCCTCACGCATGCTCTTTAGAAGCTGGACAGGTCTGGTCCAACTGGTTTAATGAGCTATTCCCTTCGTTAGTAAGTTTTATCTTAGTACTGCCTGATAAGGCATCTGCTGAGCTTGTCAAGCCACCTATGACTTAAGCAGTGCCCCTTGTACAACCCCCCCTATTCTCCTCATTAGGAGGTTCTGTCCTGGTACTGCCTGATAAGCCATCTGCTGAGCTTGTCAAGCCAGCTATGACTTAAGCAGTACCCCTTGTACAACCCCCCCTCCCCCTACATTCTGTCTAACCCCCCTGTACAACCCCCCTGTACATTTTGTCTAACCCCCTTGTACAACCCCCCTGTACACAACAGGCCACATCAGTTTCAATTCCCCCCTTTTCTATAACATAAGTAAATTCTTTTACTTAAGATATACCCAGGTGCCTTCAATGGATTTGGAAAACATATTCGATACACATCGGATTAAGCATGGAATTGTCATTAAGACTCAGAGAACTACAGCCAGAATCCAAATCCCTTGTTTGATTAACTCCTTAATCCACCCTGTAATCCCAAACCCATTCAACCAATCATCCAACCCTCCATCAACTTGCAATTTCTTCATGTTTTCCTGTAGCTCTTGTAATTTGGCATGAATATCTGCCAATGCTTTTCCAGCTGCTACGTTTGGTAAAAGCAGTGTAGGAAGGAATTGCTTTGTGTGGCCCCAAATCTTTAATGTGGGGTCACATTTAGGGCCTAATTGGTTAACAGATCTTTTATTCCTATGAAGTTCTTCTCGTAGGGCTTGGATTACATGTTTTTTAGAAGCTGCAAACAAGGACAATTTTCCTAAATAGCATGGTCCCCCATTCAGCTTAGAGGGTATCCCTGGCCATGCGCGGTCTCCGCATATCAAGAGTAACCTGGGGGTAGTGCCTTAGGGGTGATAACATCATATGGGAGTGAAGGAGAAGATTCAAGACAATATGAGGTAACATTGTGACACCAGTCTTTCCTACTAGTCACTTTAGTTTCTGGAGTTCCATCTGACCAAGAATTGAATGTTATACAGCTCTGATTACTTTAGTCAGACCCCAGAAGTCGGAGTTCCTGAATTGGGATGGTTGAATGATTTAGTCCTTTTATAATTCCTCCTGTCTGAATAGATGCAACTGTCCAATTGCCTGAAGTTCTCTTAACTACTCTAGTTACTATTGTAAGGTTCAAGACTGAATCATTCTTCACCCATCCATAGAAATCATCCAGATTTAAATAAGGAACTCCAATTAAACACGTTTGGAATGGGTTTTCTATTTGTGTGAGTGATAAACAAAAATCAGTAACACCAGTTCTATTTGCCCAAGTAAGCCAAACATTTGTCTCTGTTCCTAATAGTGGTAGCATTTTGTCAAGACTTTGTGTGACCCCTAGAATCACAGTTAATCCTGTAATTATTTTCATCATTCTTCGACCTTTCGCTGGTTATAATTGCAAACAAGAGAAAAGTATTAAAGCTTTAAACAAGAAGGTTAAAAATATCATCAATACAGTCTTATCAATTTGCAGTGTTACTTGTTACGAATTAGCTTTAGTTTCAGTTCATTTTCAGTTTGGATTGCTCTCCAGGGTGTCTTTGGGGATTTCTTAACTCAAGTATGATGAATCCAGGTGTTCTGTTCCTTAATCTTGATAGCTGTGAATGTAGTTAACACCACATTGAATGGCCCTTTCCACCTTAGCTCGAGATCATCATCTCCTGTAGGTTTGAAACATTTTACATACACATAATCTCCAGGCTGTATATTGTGTACCGAGCTGTCCAACCCTCTGCTTCGAGTTCCAGCCACATGTTTTTCAATTCTAGTAAGCTGCTTTCCTAACTCTATTATATAGGTGTTCATGGTTTCTTCTCCCGCTTGGGGAGACATTCTCTGTTAAACCCCATATGGCCTTCCATATAAAATTTCGAAAGGACTCAGTCCTTCTCGTGCTCTTGGTTTAGTTCGAATTCTCAACAAGGCCAATGGAAGGGCCTGGGGCCAAGGTAGCCTGGCCTCCTGGCCTAATTTCACAATTTGTTGTTTGATTAAATGATTCATTTTTTCTACTTGTCCACTTGATTGTGGATGATAAGGGATATGAAGTTGCCAATCAATTTCTAGATATTTGCTTACTTGCTGTACCACATTTGAAATAAAATGTGGCTCTCTGTCTGAAGATATTATGGCTGGAACTCCAAAGCGTGGTATTATCTCCTGTAACAGTAGTTTGGTCACTTCTCATGTCTTTGTGCTCCTAGTTGGAAAGGCTTCTGGCCAACCTGAAAAGGTGTTTGTTAATATTAACAAGTATCTATACCCCCCTTTTCTCGGCAGTTCCGTGAAATCGATCTGCATGTAAGGTTTCGGCTCCCCAGTGTGTTTTCTGGTGTTCATTCTTTACTAAAGACCGTAACATTGATAAGGGAACAATTACCCTTCCCTGTGGTGTGTTGGTCCACCCTTCTTCACTGAATATTCCGTTTTGATCTGCAATCAATTTTTGATCTTCCTTATTATAATTTGGCTTACCTTCTAAGGAAACTTTCCCATCAGGGATCAATGCTCCTTCAGCTGGTACCTCACCTTTTGCTGCTTCTTTTGCCTCTCTGTCCGCCAGCTCATTTCCTTCTTCTAATTCAGAGCTCACCTTCTGGTGTGCCTTGATGTGCACAACTGCCACCTTCTCAGGCAATTGGACTGCTTTCAATAATCTCAATATTTTCTGTGCATGTTTGATGTTTTTCCCTTGTGAATTTAACAGTCCTCTCTCCTTCCGAATAGCACCATGCGCATGTACGACTCCGACTGCATATTTTGAGTCTGTGTAGATGTTCAGGGCTCTCTGGTCAGAGCAATCAATTCTGCTTTCTGTGCGGAAGTGTTTATAGGCAAAGGTCCAGATTCTATTACCTCTTTGCAGGTGGTAACTGCATATCCAGGCTGATGACATGACTGCTCCCGTCAGTGAATCAGGTTTCTGTGTTATCCAAAAGGATACTCCTCAAATCTGGACGACTAGGATAGGCAGCCTCAATGGTTTCCAGGCAATCATGGTGTACAGGTTCTCCTTCATTACCATTGAGGAAAGAGGCTGGATTGATAATGTTAGTTACCACAATTTCAACATTATCCTGCTCTATCATGATGGCTTGATACTCTAGAAATTTCTGAGGAGAAAGTCAGTGTCCACCTTTTACTTCCAGTACGGCAGACACTGTATGAGATATCCCTGGAGTCCCAAGAAATTTAAGAGGCTTACCGTCCAAGCCACACAAGTTTCCGGGTGGCAATTAGGATGTCGTCCACGTACTGCAGTATTCTTCCTTCCTCTGGTGGGGCTTCCCAAGATTCTAAGTCTTTGGCAAGTTGTTCTCCAAACAAAGTGGGACTGTTTTTAAATCCCTGAGGCAGCACCGTCCATGTGAGCTGAGTTTTGCACCCACTTTTAGGGTTTTCCCTTTCAAATGCAAAAATTTTCTGACTGGCTTCATGGAGAGGG